CCCCCCCCCCCCCCACACACCTTTTCTTTGTGTGTCTGTGTGTGTGTGTGTGTACACAGTTGATTGATTGATGATTATTTACCTCTGTACTACTTTTCCAAACTAATATTTTTTTCTCCTTTAAAAAAGCTATTCCATATAGATTTTGGGCATATCTTGGGTCATTTCAAAGCAAAGTTTGGTATTAAAAGAGAACGTGCTCCCTTTGTTCTCGTTCATGACTTTGTTCATGTCATCAATAAAGGACAAACCAAAAAGGGACAAGCTCTTGAGTTTCAAATGTTTCAAAGCCATTGTGAAAAGGTACAGTTCAGAATTACTCACGGAATTCTATTAAACACAGTGCTTCTTAAATAACCTTGGCCTGTTCGTATATTATGAATACTAATTGTTTCTCTCTTTTTCTTCTTAGGCGTTTTTAATATTAAGAAAACATGGAGGACTTATTTTATCACTCTTTGCCATGATGATCTCTACAGGACTGCCAGAGCTAAGCTCTGAAAAAGACCTTAACTATATCAGAGATACTCTGGTAAGTGATGTTATTATCTTGTCATCATCTTTTAAAAGTTAAAAACATTCCAAGGACATTGGTGTATTATATAATTATCGTGGCAATTTTAAAATTCCATAGGTTTTAAACAAGACCGAGCAAGAGGCCATTGCTCATTTTCGTGCAAAATTTGATGAGGCTCTAGCTCTTGCCTGGAGAACCTCGTTGGACTGGGCAGCTCACAATGTTGCAAAGAACAATAAACAATAGGTGAGCAACTCCTTAGGTTCTAAATTTCCCTGTTGTAAGGAAAGATAAAAGGATGGGTTGGTTGGTTTTGACTGACTCAAGAGGTGTAGGAGTTAAGGAAAAGTGGGAAAAATGAAGATTCAAAATTCTTTGGTCATCCCATGAGCAACCTCCTTAGATCCAGGATGTTTTCGAAAGCAAGGCTCGTCTGCTGTCTTCATTCTTTGATTTGTAATTATAATTCTCAAAAAATAACTACAATAAATGTAAATTTGTCTCTGTTTACGACCTCAATTTCTGTACATATACAGGGTAACATAGTTATAGCTTCTCAAAAGAATAATGAACGCTACACTAGTCATTCAATCATGAACATAACTCTAGATAGATTATCGTATAGTGAACTCTTGTTATACTTTAGAATCCAGTAAAAAACTACATGTCTTGTGGTATTGCAGCCATATTTATATTGATGTTTCACTATGTATTTTCAAGTTGTGTTGCATTAAAAATTCTGACGCTACTGACTGACAGTTAACAGGCGTAAAGCAGACAGTCTGTTATATTATGTTGTACACTCCTCATAAACCCGTTGGTTGTACTGAAAATAAATATTAAGATGCTGCAGCAAATACAGTTTTGAAATAGATAGAAAGGGAAATTTTTCAGTGGGCCAAACCCTCTGCTCAATTTTTAACTTTCTTTTGTTGAGTTTATTCTTCTTTAGTGTAGTGGTTAATTCTTTCATGAATAATGGGTCATTTTCTTTGCTATTTGTGTAATGCTTAACCTTTATTTGTTCTAACAAAAAAAACACTCATTTTTTGAAACATTTTGGTTTAAATCAAGGACATAGTCCTGGGTTGTTATAAAAATCAGATAAAGGTTTGTTCTACACACTGTGGCTCTCTGGAGGAAAACTCTTGTATCTTTTAAGCCAAGCAACTAAGCTAAGCAATAATATTGGAAGCTTGGAATCTGCAATAAATGTTAAAAGGCTTTCTTGTTCCTCCAAACGTGCCTAGCCTAGTTCAAACAAATACTTATTTTTCTAAAATTTATGATAATAACTAATGCCAATTAGTCTTCCTTTACTGCTACCAAATTTAAATCTACTTCTACTGTGAAATGCTTGCAAATGTGCTGATGTATTAAGTTAGTTAAAGGATCGGAGGCAGTTTGATTTTTTGCCGAAATTTTCCTACAGATGTGTTACTTTTTCAAATTTATGACGTAAGTGATATCAGCTGCATGTATTGGATTTGAGTTCAAATGTTATCCAAATATGTTGGATTTTCATCTATTTTATTTATATTGACTTAAGTTATGAGAGCACAGTGCTATTGTATGTTTCTTTTTATCACCCAGTATTCTGTTGGTTTGAAATAGTATTGTTATGTAATACACACCAAATTGTTTATCTTAAAAAGTACAGGGTGTCGAGGCTTATGCACTCTACTTTTTATTTAAAGTTATACTCTACCATATGACGAGGTGCGGGCGGGTTTTCCCTGCAAAGTACAGATTTCTGTGTGTGGTACATTTAACAAAACAACAAAAGAAAGAAAGGAATATAGAAAGAAAGGGAAAGAAAAGGGCATTTGTTTTGCTTGGTTTTCTCTCATTCTTTGATGGTCATCACAGCACTAAATTTAATTTAACGTAGAGTTGCTGTGTTGGTTTATTTGGATTACTGATCGAATCCTTATTCTAAATTTGTGCTTTTTATCCGGTTAAATAGAATTCAAGCCATTAAAATGATATAATTTATATTTTTAAACAGCAATTGCTTGTTATGCCACAAAAAATGTAATTTCATTACACAGAGTACATCCTGTGCTGTTGGGTTCTATAAAGTGATGGCCACTCCTGAGGGTCGCTGGTTCTATACCATGGCTTGAAGGCAATTAATTTTGTCAGCTATTCGTATTTTTCTGTACCTCATTTGGTTTTGCTTTGTGTGTTTTTTTGTGTGTATGAGGGAGTGTATGTGGCTGTAGTCTCCTGTATTCAGTATGAGACAAGTTAAAGCGGTCCCGGCTCTGTCAGCTGTTAAGAGCAGGGCTGTGTCTTTAGCTCCAGCTTGATTCAGCTTTGGATGAATGAAACCAAACGCACCTCCTTTTTTTTTTCATTTCTACTAAAATTGATATCGAGTTCATTCTCAGTTGTGTGTACCAGATTGTAGAACTGGTATTTTTAACTGAGAATGGAGAAATGTGATGATTTGTATACTTTTGTTTAATATTATTACTGTAAGAGATATGTGTAACATGTGCCATGCAATCGATATGACAGCCATGAAGAAATTCCAAATTATTTATGATTGCTTTCAGAGCATTTTTGTGCCTACATCAGATTTTATGACCTTGCCTGCTGCTGTGTTGTCATTGTTCTAATTATTTGCAAATACTGTCTATCTACACGTCGTATTGCTTTATTTTTCAACCCACTCTGTATGCTAAAAGCTTCAAAATTTTTTATCAGATTCAATTTATAGATGTAAGCTATTGTTAAGGATTTTTTTATATTTTTGTATTTTATGTGTACTGACTCAAATCATGTTAGGATCCTATTGAAATTTATGAATTTTCACCAATGTTGTTGAATTCTGTCTTTTTTTGTTTGTTGTTTGTTTGTTTGTTTTGTTATCTATTCACACAATTCACCAATATGATTGTGTAATAGTGTACTCTTCTGTAGACAACATGGCATGTCAGATTTTTGTATGAAATCTGTTTCTTGAGTGATGCCTATCTCTCATATACGATAACCCCTACTGACACCTTAACCAAGTACGTATAAGCCTCTCAAGCCTAATAATCATGTTCCATGACTTTTCTTGCTTCTTTTCTAGAAACCTCAACAGCATGGTACAATACAAGATCTTTCTAGAAATTTTGTTAAAGATTAAACTCATAACTTTATCTGATTTTTTTGGTGCTTTGTTGGATATAATTTGTTGTTGGGTAAACCATAAATATGAGTATAACTAATTACAACTGTATGTTTGACTTACAATATATTTTATTTAATTTTGTAAGGGTGTAGATTGTAGATCCTGAGTAAGTTACAAATTTTTGTCTTGGTGCGATAATTGATCTCATTCAAAGCTGTTCATGAATTGAACTGCATAAACTTCCCATTGATGTGAGAGTTAAAAAATAGCATTTAAAGAATTTGTCATATTACCCATACTGGTCCAAAATGACCTGATAAGAGTAGTTAAATAATACTACAACAATCTTGCTCTTGATTTATTTTTGCAGTGGGCCTAGTACAATTTGGTCTAAAATGTTAATGAGAAAATAAATGAAACTGATGACGATAAAACTTTCATATCTTTCAATGTGACCCTATCTTCCTTTTAAAACCACTGAACCAAGAGACACCATGCTATGCAGTGTAGAAGCCAGGATACAGGACAGATAAAAATATCTACGCTTTACAAGAAAAAGGCAAAACAATGTATTTTTGAGTTATGGACATTCCTGTACAATACTTTTTTTGTGTAACACAGTTGAGGGCAGTCAGACAATAGTATGGATGGTCCCATTACATGTTTCAGGAACTTCCTCCTTTCTCTACAATTTTGCAATATTAATCTTCACCTTCAGTCATCATCATAACTGCATTTCTTCGCCAATGTCAATGTATACAATCCACTGAACAGTTCCGTGTGTACAAAGTAGCCTTATTTTTGTGTTCTGTATTATATTTGGGAGGTGGAGGAAGAATCCCGTGTTCATGGCTTACTTTTCTTCACTCTTTTTCTTACGTTAGAAAGAATTGTGTTTAAGTGTATAATTTGTTTAAGTATTTTACAACTTCAATTTAGAGGGTTGGTTTAGTAGTACAAAACAAACTGATCTAACCATGTCAAATAGATGCCAAAAATCATCACACAGAAATATCCAAACATTAATTAAATCCAGAAACAAGTCATAAGTCAATTCACAGCTGAGTTACTTAATATAATATTTTTATATATACTGTAGTATGTACATCTTTAAAAGTATATTACATGTGGGTCTGGGCCCCATTGTGCATCTGATTTTAGGCATACGACCTTAGTCAGTGGCCAGTATAAATATGAAGGATGAAAATCTGCTCTTAGAAGCAGTTCATAAAATCTGTAAAACCAACAGGGTTGTAAATACAGACATCAGAACTTTCACTTGTACTTGAAATTGGATTAAATGTACAACTACTTCTGGGCATATTACTCTGACAACATGTAATAATAAAAAGATGTGAGCTCCTTCAAAAGTAACACCAAAGTAAAGAAGAACATTCACAAGAAGTTGTTTCATGTGACCATTGCATAAAACAGTGAAAGCAATTTGAATATTTGCTGTTGCCTTATAAGTAAATTTAACAATTGGGAATAATTTTAATGGCCAAAGTCATTATACAATTTTCTTATGATTAAATATGTAAGTAAGATATGTATGTATATTTTTGGCAAAGGGATTAGCTTGAATATGACAAACTGAGGAATCGAATATAATTTACAATGCTTTGGTCAAGGCTGGACTGAGAACGCTTTTATGTGAACTCAAAGTCAGCTCACTTTGTACTCTTTGTTTCTTGGAAATATCTCATACAGTTAAAGAATCACTGACTCAAGCTCTATGATAATTAGCTATGTCAGTTCTAGGAGAGTTTAGACAGTTAGCTGCTGGGTTTCATTTGAACCTCTACAGGTTTAACTCTTGTACAGGAATGTGTACAGGAATGGTGCACAGTTTGAAATATAAAAAGTAACGGAACCACAGCTTCTCTGATAAAAAATACTAACACGGTGGCAGCTTAGACTCAGTTTTTTATGAAGAGACACTTATTACAGTATAAAGTGGTTCTATAATTCTAAAGCATGGAACAGAAAATCATTTAGTCATCACTCTACAGAGTAAGTTGATGAGTTATTATTTGTTTCTCCTGCAATCATACTATCAATTGGAAAAAAATTAATGCTTAAAAACTATAATGTAACACAATAGTTTCAATATCCTTTGGCAAAGAAAGTATAGGATAAAAATAGTAAGCCTCTCTCTCTCCTCTTGTCGCAAACATAATTGGCTTTAAGAAGTGCAGTTACATGCTATTAAAGTATACTTAGCTTCCTCAGTAAATAATCGCAGGCAAAAGTCTTATTTCGAGTTGGTTTGTTCAGTATGACCTGGTCTACGTCATCAGAGGGTAGTAACGTTCTCGTAGGTTTTCTGACGCTGTGAACCTGTTTGGAACAAGCGGCCTGTCTTGCAATAAAACCGAGGGAAAACATTTGAAATCAGCGTAGCTTTTGGCTCAGGGTAGGCTGCTGTTGTATCATTGCTCACGTTTTGGGACGACTTAAAATAATAAGTAAGCCCTTCGACTCAAGCGAGAACATATAGATTTCCCGCCAAATTCTCAATGACAAGCAATTAGTCCGTCAGAAGGCAGGCGCGGATTAAGGTCTGGCTGACAGGGGAGGGGGCGATGCACTGTCGGTTGCCTACTTACAGGGGTTCTGTGGCTCATATTGCCTACCTTTCAGGCGGCTCACTAGGTGATCGCCCCCCCCCCCCCTTAATCCGCGCCTGTCAGAAGGTCCGATTTCGTAGAGCTCTGCCACCCACTCTTTGCCCTGTGTAACCCAACGCCCGTTCGCACAGACGCTCGGGGTTTCCCTGCCGTGTGTGAGAAGATCATGCGAGAAAGATGTCGGTGACAAGAAGTGACGCGGTGACACTCAAGGCGGGTCAGGCCGCGAGACTTCAAAAATAAATATGCTTCGCGGAAGATATCATCCATGCAATCCGGACCCGGGCATCAAACCAAGACCAAGGGCCGCAGCAGCGTGCACAGCAGCGCTGCAGCACCGGCGTGGGTGGGCCTAAAGGCGGGCACACAGCATGACGCCAGCCCTCGTCCCGGCCAACCAAAGAAACGACGAAAATAACCTTCCAGTGGGTCGACGCGCCTTCCGGGCGTCTGTCCACGGGCCGCTGCTCACGTGGCGGGGGCCCCGGCCTCGGCCCCGGCGGGGGTCGGCGAGGGCCCTGGGGCCCCAGTGAGTGCGACGGGGAGGGTGGCGGCCAGCTCAGCAGGTGCGGCCGCGGTCATCTCGTTCATGTGGTTCTGGATCTCGGCGCGGGTCTGGGCATCATCGGGGTCCTCGGCTTCGGCACCATCCAGGTCGCCGAGTGGCGCCGCGCCGCCCGCGCCGTGAGCCAGCCCGTGCAGCGTCATGCCCCGCTCCATCTCCAGGAGGCTGCGGCGACGCTGCGCTCCAGTCGGCGTGCACACCCCTAGCGCTGCAGAGGCTCGGCGAGCCACCTGGAGGAGACAAAGACGTTGACAGGGCGTGCCTCAAGAAGTAGACCTCACATGTGTAATAAACCTACCTGGCCATTTGTAGTGGAGTTTGTGCGTGATCGACTGCCATCGCGGACCGATCCTGACCCGGAGCCCGACGCTGGGGCCTCAGAAGCGGCTGCACCGCCACCTACAAGCAAGCCAACCTGTCAGACCCGCACGGTACGGGCCGGGCCGGGCCCTCTCCTCATAGCTCACCTGGGGCCTGCGCGGTTGCGGCCATTCCGGGTAGGCGGCGCTGCCGCCAGGGCAGCACGCAGCAGCGGAGCACGGCCAGCAGGATGCCGAAGATGAGCATGGCGCCCCCGCCGCCCAGCAGAAGGTAGCGGTGCTGGCTCGCGTCCGCATTGGGGGTGAGCTGCACTAAGCCGACGATCACCAGGATGGCGCCGAGGAGCAGCGACACCACGACAAGGTGCAGCACCGACACCTACAGAACGATAGCAACGGTGGAGGCGATTGCTAGCGCGAGAGAAGGGTGCCACGCAGCGCCACGCAGGTGCCGGCGGCGTGCGAGACCGCCACAGGGACCGCCCCGCGGGTAGGCAACAAGGCGTCGGCGCGCAGTCGAGTGCTGCGGATGCCTACCCACGATTCCGCGGGCGCTCCCCGCCGCGCTAGCCGCTAGCTATTCCCCCGCAACGGCACTTTGTCACAGTTTCTGTCATGTGGCGAGCGCCAGTGTGCCACAAAAGTGCCTCGCGTGAGGAGTGGTGAGGAGAGGAGCGTTGGGGGAGCTGCTCTCCTCACGTCTGCCTGGCAGCGGGCAGCGGCCTCATCGCAGGCCGCCTCGGCTTGTCAAAGGCACTTGACTCTGGCGCGCGCCCCGCGGCTCCTCGCCTCGCCTCACCTTGCCGCAGATGTAGTACTCCTGCCGGCCGTCCTGCTGGAGGGGCGACTGCAGCGGCTCGGGGCTGGCCACGCCCAGCCCGAGGCCCACGTTGTCCAGGGAGTCGGCCGGGGGCGACTGGATGCCGAGCTGCGACGGCCGCTTGTGGCGCCGCTCCTGCTTCCGGCGCTCGTGGCGCACGGCCACGGCTGGCATGGCGCCGATCATGGTGAGCCCTGCGACCGAGACGAGGAGGGCGGTCAGATTACAAGGCGAGGGCAGGGGGAGGGAGTCAGTGCGGGAGGGACATGCCTTGCTGCCTCTCTCGCGCTCACACCACCTCGGCGAAACTTCATCTCTCTCGCACCTATGTTTTGGCGCCAACTGTCGTCAGCGGGCTGTGCACATAGACATACGCTGCATGCATAAAAACCTCGGAATCAGATGCATACATAAATATAACATATGTGATGGCGGAAAAAATATAAATGGGGAGTGCAATATGATAAGTTATTTAAAAAAAAATGTAGGTGGCTTTGCTGAGTGGCCCGCGAAGCAGTGGCACCACCGTGCCGGGCGGGCCCCTCTGTGCAGGTGGTGGATGCAGGGGCGTATGTGTGCAAGCGTGCAAAGGGGTGGGGAGTGTGTGGCCAGCAGTGGCCACCTGAATGCAGTTGATTCGGGTAGTGGGCTTCGTCAGGAACTTCGTTCAGGCCTTTACTCAGTCAGAAATAAATAATCGATTCGATGTTAAGTCGACATCGCCGAGGTGGATAATGCCAAAATTATAATCGATTCAGTACTTGTGGGGGAATATGTCAACGACCAAAAGCGACATCGAATTGTCATTTGAATCGACATTATCATTTTCTGTCTGGGATTCATCCTGCGGTCGGTGGTGTTGTGTCGTACGTACCAAATAAGTCAGCGCAGCTGCAGTGCAAATTATTTTTTTTATTAAAAAAAGCAACAAATAAACTAGTAACATCTTATTTCCTCCCTTGCGAGTGACTGGAGTTTAAATGTCACGGCTTGGCTTGTGGCCATATTGACACAATAGAAAGCAATTTTGCGTTGTTAGCGATGGCAGTTCTGGTGGTAAAGGACTTACCTTTATTCGCCAAACGGTAAGAAAAGATAGCAAGTCCACAACGCGGGACTCGTGAGTTTTCCCACGCCAGTCTTTTGAGGAGAAAATGGGAAGAGGAGGAAGGACGGTGTGTTGTTTTGCAAGATTGTATTTTAAAACGCTCTCTACTTGTTAAAGTGGGTTTACTAATTTACAGCTCTTTTCTTTGTCTCTGTCTCCACGATTCAAGTCAGCGGCGTTCGGGTGGGTCAAGTGGGAATATATGTGACTGTTGGGTGACGTGTGAAATAAAAATCACGCACGTGGCAAGTTTCAGCGTCTTGTAAAAACAAAATTTTGAAATTTGCCGCTCGCGCGTGTAATACATGGCGCATCCACACGGTCAGTGGACTCTCGGTAAATGACGCCACGGAACTATAGTGTGCGAGAGAGATATGGCTATATCGAAAGAATAGCACGTTTCACATTAAGTGAAGAATGCGTCATGCAAAGGCTCTATTATTAATTTAAATTTATTTTAACTCGTCAATTCCCACTCATAACTTTCGAACACACAGACGAAGGTGTACACACACAAACACACAGACGAGAGCAAATTCCAACCAAAAGACACTGCTTGAATCCTTCCGATCGGGGACTCAGATTGTGAAACTCATAGGTTGAAATCCGCACCTCAGATTTGGCTTTAGCTGCGGCAGGGACGGTGGGGCGGACGGTCACCTGAGATAGTGAGCGGAGTCTGCAGCGCCAGGCTGGAGGGCCACTTGCCGCGCTTCTGTTGCTTGAGTCTTTCGTGGCGCACGGCCACTGCGGGCATCGCCCCAATCATCCTGCATATCAAACACGCAAAGGTCAACACACATTCGCCGAGAACCCAAGCCTGTAGAAATAACCACTTTTTCCTAAAAGAAACTATTCATTTTCTCATGACACACAAGAGAAAGGGCAGTAAAAGAGAGATAGGAGAAAGTGAACGAGATGATGAAGAGGGTCAGCAGAAGGGCAAGGAGAAGAGATAGATACAGAGCCACAGAGAGCACCTAGAAGTGTGGAGTATCTATGCGTGGTCGGGTACGAGACGTGTATAACATACGGGGTTGCCCACGCGGAAGCTTGTAAATTAACATTTCTGGGTAGAAACCGAGCATTTACTGAATGGTTTTCAAGCAGAAGTCTCAAAGTAGTCACTTTTACCTTGTACACCTATCTCGTCTGTGGTTTTTCTGTATCGCATGCAGACGTGCGAGTGGGTTGCCTAGTCGATTGTGACGAAAAGGCAACGTGGTCAGCGATGATAGGCAAACCCACACCCACCCAGACGCGTGCAGGTCGTACAGTGACAGTACAACGAGTACAACATCAGGAAATATTTAAGGGTAGATCAAGACAACGGAACGGCTTTATTCGTAGACTGAGTAAATCGTGCCCGTTTCGGTTGCTTACCTCCGCGGGCTCGGCGGTCCACGGGGGATGTGGGGTGAAGGTGGGGTGGGGTATGGCCATGCACCTGACAGCACTCATGGAACAGCCCGGGCGACGGCGTCACGGGGCGGTGAGGGGTGCGAGAGGGGTGCGCAAGTTGGGAGGCGTTCTTACAAGACCTGGGGAGGGGAGGAAGTACACGTGCCGAGTAGAGGGTGGTATGGTGAATATGTGTGGTGGTGGGAGCGGGTGGGAGCGATCAATGAAAGGGCGAAAACAACCCGTTTGGCGTCAAATCTTTTCGTTTTCATTTATTCCTTCACCGACAAATCAGACTTCATAATACTGGAAATCACACGGCAAATCCGAAATCAACTCCTTCACAATACACACTGGCATACAACAGGACACATGATGTGAGACGATAAGAGGTAGAACAGACAAGTCGTACATGTACCTTCCTATCTGGCTCCACGCCAAGTCAAGGAAAAATACCATTCGGCACAACCAAACCGTATTCATATTTATTTAAGAAGGAAGGGGCAAACACACAAAGTCATACAAATTGATTAAACGAATGGCATAAAGGGTACTTCATTGAAAACATGTAAACAAAGTCGAAAAAGAGATGAACATGATGAGGCATCTAGTATGTGTATATTCAATAATTTATAAGTGCATGAAAACCTATTATATGTGAGAGAAGGAAAAAATATGGCATTTTAACATCTAAGAGATGCCCATGACATTCCTATAACCACATATGCGATGGGTTTATGTGCGCGTTCTGTCTGGCTGAGATTGAATGCAATAATATACAATTCTTTCCCAACATATTTAATATTATACAATAGCGTAGTTTGATTAGGTGCGTAGAAGTAAAAGTGTAAAAATATCACAATGCAGTTATATTCTCAATTCAGAGTAACAGCCCTATATTATCCTTTGATGCACCGTTTATCCGGTAGATCCAGTTCTCCGCTTGGTCGTAACTTGAAACCTTGACAAAGACGCGTCCTACGGCCTATGAGCTGGAATATGGAATGGGGTTGCACTGGAGGAGAGAGGCAATAACATCACAAGAAACGGACAAGAGAAAGCAAACGCTATTGGTCGTTTGTTAGGAGCGAAATTAATGAATTTTATGAAGTTATCTTCAACTATTTAGGCCAAAATGTAGATAAAACGCACGGGGGAATTCTTCGGCCCATACCACTCTGATTCTATTTCTTTTCCCATGGACAAGTACAAAAAGGCAGAAAGTAAAAGCAAGGCATGGAAGCTAAGGTAGCACCTTGACAGGCTCGTCAAGAAAAAGCTAAGAGTATTATTTACTTACACATATCATTGATATCACAGCTTGAAGGGAGATTTGGCAACGCCGCTTTGCCCCTGTTCTTATCTGAGTCTGAGGACCAAATATATCTCTATTCGCTCAGGGGGCTTCTGGCTGAGAGATGCTCCAGAAGTCGTTATAAGCTATAAACCGATAGAAGAATCCATGGGAGGACCAAATGTTATGTATTTCATTGTACATGAAGTGCCTGCATGAAGCTAAGAGCAGTACCTCAGTAGAATATGTTAATAGTATGTGCAATACAAAACAGCATCATGTAAATCTATAAAATGGAGAATAGATAGTTTTAAATTTCAAAACAATAATAATTAAAGAGGGATGTAAAAAAGACATTTCTTTCGCGCTCATCATAGATAAATTAGAAAATGTATTTCGAGGTGGAGCAAAAATATGCCCTACTTTACCAATTCTGCTGTTGTTAAAAATGCAAAGTTTTGTTAAGAATCCGAAACTCATGGACTATAAATAAATCACAACTCTGAAGCCTGAGTTCGCTCATTCAATCACCCATCACGTTTCACTTTACTTCGCGTCTTCATCCAACTACCATCATTGCTTCTGGGCAGAGTGGATTCTATCTCCCCAAGGCTAAAAAAAAGAGAAGTAGTTTTGCTAGATAAGTTGAGCAAAGTACACACCGACATACACAAAACACGCTCTCAACAGACACGCACACACACATATACACACACACACAGAGAGAGAGAGACATGCACCAACACGCTCTCAAGAGACACGCGCACACACACGCGCGTAGAGTAGCGATAAAGTCACGCGACAGGATGGTTGGTACAAGCGCCCCCTCGCCTTCTACCCCCACCCCTCCTGGCCTAGTAAGGCCGCAGGAGGGGTGTGGGGAGGGCGTGCGCTAGGAAGAGAAGAGGACGAGGGAATTAGAATACACACAATGCGGGGCAGCGGGGCCGTGCACGGTAAGGAAGGGGGAGGGCAGGGGGGAGGGAGGCCTCTGTGTCTGCCATCCGCGCTCAGATCGCCACCACGTGGTGGGTGGGATGTTGATGTCCATAGGGTATGTGCGGTTGGTGGTTGCTGTCGTGGTGGCCAGCGCCTTCGTGATGGCCGTGGCCACTGTCGTGCCGCGCATGCCCACTGTCGTGTCGGCCGTGCCCGCTGTCGTGCCGCCCGTGGTGCACTCCGTGGTGGGCGCCGTGGTAGCCTCCGTGGTGCAGCAGCTCGCGGGTCTCGGACGGCGAGGCAGGGCCCGAGCCGGGGCTGATGCCGGCTGGGCTGAAGGCGGACGCCGGGCTGGGAGCCATGAGGTCGCCGACGTGGCTCATGCGGTCGCTGACGCCGTCCTCCTCCAGGATCTGCTCCAGGTCGCAGTGCAGGTGGTGGTGGGCCGACGGCGGTGGCGAGCGCATCGTGGGGCTCTGCAGCGGCGACAGGCTCGCGTCCACAGCGCTGTCGGAGGCCCGGTCGGCGCGCTCCGTGAACACCTCGTCGCTGTCGCTGGGCGTGCGCGCGGCGCGGGCCAGGGCGTGGTGCTTGTTGGTGAGCGCGCCCGTCTCCACGTCACGCACCAGCCGGTGCCCGGAGCGCGAGCGGGTGAGCTGGCGCTGCACGTACTCGGTGAGGTCGTCCTCCTCACGCTGCGCCACGTAACGGTTCAGCACGATCAGGAAGACCCCGAGCAGGATGGCGCACCTGTGGACGACAAGCAGAGTGTGAGCTGGGCGTGAGCGGAGCTGAGCGTGAGCTCAGGCGCGGGACTTACCCGCCAGCGATAGTCAGCTCGTTCCACCAGAGGGTCGTGTGGAATTGGCTCCACGACGTGATGTCATCGGGCAGCAGCCCGGACCCCAACAGGAAGCCCCCCAGCACCAGAAAGACCACGCCAATGTGGAGCATGCCCACCGAAGACATCATCTGCCGACGAAAAATTACAGGAAAAATAAGACACATTGATGTGCAACAGTGCATGGCATCTGTGGACTACGGACTGTACTCATTTTTTTCTCATCCAAGCAGCCCTTGCCCGCACAGTCCCAGCAACCCAGCTGGGTCCAGCCTGACTGACTATGGCGCCAGCTCGTCGTCCGTTTGCGCATTGAATTTAAATTGGGCGTAATCCCATCTCGAGGGGCCCTCCACTCGCCAACTCGTTGGACACAAGGAAAAATACTCGCTTAATACTCGCGGTAACTCGCGAAAAACTCGCGTCAACTCGCGGAAACTCGCAAAAAAAAGAAAAATACTCGCCAAATACTATTTTCGTCAGTACTCGCGTAAACTCACGGATATACTCCAATACTCTCGAATACTCGCGAAGACTCGCGCAACTCGTTCTACACCCACATGGAGAGTGGGGGACCCCTCGCGCACGCTGCGTCTCTCCCCGGTGGCTCGAGCGGGAGCGCCGCGCGCCGCATAAGGGAAGGGATTCTGCTGGGTAATAGCCTCACGGGCCGCCCCCACCCCACCCCAGCCCGCTAGTTCATTGCCACCCCCGGCACTATAAAGACCCCGCTCCTTTCGCTCCAGAGTTACGAGGCTGAAGCCCTCCCTTACCTTGTTCTCGACCATGGAGTCGGGCACGTTGGAGCTGTGGTGCCGGCGCCGGCCCCGCACGGAGGAGCGCGGCGACACGAAGCTCGAGTTGCTCTCGCCCAGCCCGGACTCGTTGGACTGCTGCGAGTAGCGGCGCTCTCGCGCCTTCCGCTGCTCGTCGCGTCGCTTGCGCTGCCGCTTGATGGCGAGCGCCGAGTGCAGCCCCATGGAGTGCATGGCTGCAGCGAGGACGAACAAACGGATTAAGAGCGAGCGGTGGCAGCTTCAAGGTACACTCAGATGGACGCGCTGGACTCACCTGCGGCTGGGGTGGAGAGTTCTGGTCGAGTTGGTCACTGAGTGCTGCTCCTCTTCACTTCACTGCCGGCCTGTCGGCTCACCACTGCTCGCTGCGGGAGCCGCCATGCACCTGACGATCCAGGGTAACGGAAACTGTTCGTCACGTCCACTCTCACGCACTCACTCTCGCACTCCCGCTTTCATTCACTCTTTTCTCACACGGTGCAACATTCTCAACAGTGTGCTGCGCTGTAATCCCTCAACTCTGTCCTGGCCACAGTCCACTCCCCGGCGGAGTGGCTGTCGTTAGTCAGGTTCACGGCGCGCTGCGGCGGGGACTCTCTACTTGATGAGATGGGGAGGGTGGCGAGCGGGTCGCTGGGGGCGGCAGGCGTGGCAGGCCACCCTGCGCGACCTGTGGAGCTGCTGGGGCTGGACTCGCCCGGCCCGGCCGGGGGGTGCTGCTGGGGGCAGTGCAGAGCGCGGCCAGCACCGCCCCGCCGAGTTAGGCGCTGCTCTGTTGCACACACCTAGTTCGAAACGGTGGCAAATTCCGTTAACATACGGCGTCATGTGGAGGGAGTGCTCCCTCCCGTCCAGGCTCCGCCCCCTTTTCTCCCTTAGGTCGAGACGACCCTACCTGTTGAACCTCCCGGGCTCGGCCCGGCCCCAGGGCTGCGAGAGCGAGCAGCCAGTCGATAGAGCTCGGCGCTGCGGAGGGGTGGCCCGGTCCACCCGCACGAGGCGAGGCGAGGGGAAGGAGCGGGGGCAGTGGGGCGTCGACCCTCAGGCAGCAGGGGGAGG